GCGGCTGTGGTAGGCTCTCTGGAAACATGAGGCTCTGAAAGTATAAAGGAGACAGGATTTGTAGGGAAAAGTAATATCTTTTGTTATATCATCCAATAGTCAGGAAGAAGAGTCAAGCTTTGGGCATACAAAACCTCCTGGAAAACTGGTCTGACTTTTCAATTACACTGATATTAACTTTACCTGCAAATCCCACTTTGCCTTGGCTACTTCCAGCCACCATGAATGCAGCCTCTATAGGTGACTGGGACTCAACATTTGAGGGGGTTTTCCTTCCCCATCCCTCTGCTATTTGCTGGGCTATTTTTTGCTGCTGGGCTAACAAAGTAAGAATAATCATTGTATTTGTCACACACCGCTTCATATACTTACTAAATCACAACTTTGTTTTGCTTTCAGATTGGTTTATCCAAAACCACGCAGCAAAGCTGGGAGTACCAGGAGACAAACCCTAACTCATGATTATAGACTTTTGCATTAATTACCTGGAAATATTTTCCCCCTTTCAGATAAAAAAAGTGTGAGAAAATCATGCTGATAATAATGAACTGTTTAATATCCTCATGGTTAAAATCCATGTCTTGTATGCTGCTCCACAAATATGTCTTTAGATTTACTACTGGGAAATATCAAGCCACAGTCATTTCTATACAGAGGAAAGAAACTAGGAGACACTTCTTTTCTCATGTGGATGGATTACTTTGTTTTGTTCTTAATGATCTCAAAACCTTAAAGAATCAATGATGAGTTTGCCAAACTCCTTCCAGGAATTACCTAAACTTCAATTATTTTTCAGAAGAAGATACAATAACACACCGAATGAAAATGCTTCTCTTCTGTTCAGTTGAATTGAAAACTGAAAATGCTTGGTTAATATTTTGCCCTAAAAAAATAAATATTGGGAAAACTGGGCAAGTTGAAAGAAGTTGCACTGCTTTAAACTCCAAGCACTAAAATACAATTTTTTCTTCATTTATTCTACATCTGGAACAATTAATTTTTCACACAAATTTAAGTATTGTTTCAGTCAAATCAAATGGGGTTTCTTTGAGAAAAAAATCTACCCATCCAGCAACCAAAATATATGGGGTATTTTATCCATGTAATCGTTTCTCTCCAGTGGTAATCTGCCAAAGAGTGATGCTAGGCTACAGGCAAAAAGATCCTACAGAACTGAAGGGCTCTACAGCAACAGGGCAGAGTCCTGAAAACTGAAAAATCTTATTTTCCGTGTCCAAAAGCTACAGGAGGATATGTCTTCTGTAATATTTGTTAAAAAAAGAAAAAAGTGTCATTGCCTTTACATCTGCAGAGAAAACACTCTTTTTTGTGGTAGCCTCTTTGTGAGCCTTGCTTTGCAAAGCTTGAGGCAGAGATGTATAGCGGCAACTATTTTTAGATCGCAAACTCTCATGGATTTTAAAAGGGCTTTTGCATATGGAAAGTAAAAAAAAGAAATGCAAAGTATTTCAGGAGAAGGATAGAATGATTCATATTATACAGCAGAAGGGAGGGGTTGGTGCTTTTATATTCTGCTGGCAGAGTTGCTAGTGGGAGCCTCAGCGACTGTGGGGAGGGCATGGTGCACACTGCCATCGCCCCACAGGGTCCCCTGCCAGCCTCAGCCAGCACCTCTGCACTCGCTCCCCCACGCATGGGAAGAGAAACCACGAGGTAAAAATAGTCCTGCCCCTTCAGTGGCTCGATGGAGACAGTATGGCAACCTTGACACTCACCCAGCTGCCCCCTTGGCTGCCTCTCCACCACGCTCAGGGCCTCCCCTGGCCCAGCGGATGGCCTGCACGAGGTGGATGAACACGCAGGGAAGGAAGTTTGTGCTCTGAGATTACTTTGATGTGATAGATGGTGGCACACAACACTGACACTCTGCAGAGGGCTTTCTGTCTCCCTCCTGAGGCATGCAACATCTTGATGGGCCAAAAAAAAAAAGAAAAAAGGCACAGAGAGCAAGCTCCTGTTTACATACAGAGCTGGGCACCACAGAAAAAATTCTGCCAGCTTTTTTCGTAGTAGAAGCTCACAAGAGCAAAATGAACACTAGAGACAAAAATAATTAGACATTGCCTTTAGCTGATTTTTGATTAACTTTGCTCAGTGGTGGCTGTGTGACTGCCTGAGGATTTCTGTTCTACCATGTAGCAAAACCTGAGGGACCCTCTGTGGCTCTTAACACTTCTGCAAACACATGGGTCACTTCAGATCTATTTGGATATGTCACCAGAAAACAGCAGATGTATCTGATGATGATTTTATGCTGGCAGATGAAGTCCTACCTCCTTGCACATCTTTTATGTTTGTCTGCTTCTTTTGATACTCTGTAAACAAGGAGTTTCATGACTCCTGGGGGGTGTAAAATGACTATGATTATGCATATTTATCACTTTTAAAGGGAGAAGAAGGGTAAGTGTGATGACCCAAGTAAACACTTGCTGTTTAACCCAGCATTAAACCTAGCAAAATACAGGTAATCACAAACAGGATTCAAATGACAAAGAACTAAAGAATATGAATATAATTAATGCCAGTCAAAATGGTCTTATGGAAAGTAGATCTTGCCAGACTAACCTGATTGTCATTCTTTGATAAGCGTATAGATTAGCCTGAAAAAGCTGGGCTGAACAATGTAAGATACCCAGGCTCCTGAAGGGCATGTCACTTCCTACCATGAGTTAGTTGATTGCAAAAGTAACAACACAACACCAGCAGACCAAACCAAATATATATTAGGAACCTGCTATTGACATCTCAAATATTGCAGGAATCATCATTAATAGGCATGTTTCTATTCTGAGAGGCCCAGCAAGGACCAACAATACCTTCAAAATACCTTCAAGGACTAACAATACCTTCAAAACTATTCAACATTCCTAACCAGTATCACAAAGTTAATTTAAAAACAATTTGAAAAATTCTGGATGATACAGAAACTGACAAATCAGTGGGCAAGTGGGACAGTCAGAGCAATCTGGAACACTTAGTACATGAACACACACAAATACAAAGTGTGTACTTTTAGGAAGAAATGTGCACAGAATGAGAAGCTCAGCTGCACAACCCACCAGGAAAACCATGGGTACAAGTGAAGAGCCCATTCACCTTTGATCAGGCTCATAGGAACATATTGCATGCATTTCCGGTGCCCAGATTTTAAAGAAATTAGCAGAAGGGGAGGGAAAAAACTGCAAAGAAGGATTCAAGTAATTTGAGGAGTTTCAAACAGTACTGTTTGCTTTGTTTATTTAAAATGGGAATTAAGTCAGCTTTCAGTCTGTAAGTACCTTCAATCAGAAGAAGTACCAAGACCTATAGAGCACTTCATTTAGTGGAGCAAAGCATAGAAGTCAATGGCTAAAAGCTGATTTCAGGTAGTCAGGCAGGGAACAAGGCACATATTTTCACCAGTGTAATTAAGCACTGGAACCAAACATCAGGTAAGGGATACAGCCACTGCTCAGCAGAAACTGGAGGCTGTATGAGATACTACTTGACTCAAATACAAGTTATGCATTAATGAAAGTCAAAAAAATATTACTGTGTTCAGTACAGGTGACTGAATGAAAGCTGTCAGTCAGGTTACAGACCCTACAGGATCATTTCTGGTCCTACACCTGAAGGTAGGACTCCCCAGGAGTTGAAGTCCACACAATTCCCTTTGTCAGGCAGTACCAGGTGATGTACTAACTCCTGCTGAAACCAGTGAGAGTGCATGAGTTATGGTAACTCTATGTTTTTGGGAGAGGTGAGGGAGTTACTCTAAATTTTGGGTTTTCTTTGCACTGAACAATGCTGCTTATGGGATTTGCCAGCATCCCTATGGACCATTGCACAAAAGAAAAACAGGATGTGCTATAAATAATGCATAGCACATCACTGATAGCTGGGGAGAAGAATGATGAAGACCACTGCTTGCATTTTGCTCAGATTTTGCAACAGCCTCTACATGTTGGGGCAGTAGTTGGTTACTGCCTTCTTCCTTTCTGCATAGTTAGCATCTTTGAAGTATTTTGTCTCTTGCAGCTCATACTGTACTAGACATGCTCTTCTGCCATTCAGAGATCAGTTCAATTAACTTTTTATGGATCTACCCTAAGCACCTTGAGTTCAGGTAAAAAAGGTGCAGTTCCCTAGTGTTTATATGTGTCAAAAGCATGATGTATGCTTCTTTCTTTGCTAAATTGCAATCTGCTTTTAGCATTACTATTTGAGGTGTATTTTTGCCTGTGCTGAAAGTTTAGAAAATACAGGTCCAAGAAACTTTGCTCTTATCCCATACCACTCTTCAAGTATCTTGGCTCACCTGGACAGCGAGAGGTCCTAGGTTTAAAGAGCAAGAGAAGCTTTTCACAGAAGGGGTTTCTATTTGATTTCTTTCTCTCTCCCAATGGCTTCTAGGTATTGCTGAACTGGAAAAATTGATGTTAGGTTTTTGTTGTTGTTGGTTTTTGGTTTTTTTTTTTTTTTCAGATTTATTTGAAGATGAATGGGAGGAGATGTAGTAATGCTTCTCACTAAGCTAGCAGCAATTTAAGAGAAACTGTTCAAAGTAAAAGACAAAATTATTTCAGGTAAAACTATGGATGTAACTTTGAATAGTTTCCTTAAGTAACCAAAAAAAGGAGCCCCAAAAGGGAATTAGGTTTATCAGCTGCAATGTCAATTAAAGAATAAGACAGATAAAGAGTTATGAAAGCATATGTTTGAAATTACTATGACAAACCACCTGATATTTGGAATTCGGGATTGCAAGTACATCCCCACCTGAACACAACTTACTAGTGTAGGACCCAATATTCATAGAGATGAGTATCAGCAGGTTAATTTTCCACTGGGCACAGATATAGGAATTTTGGCTGGAGACAAAATCCAGCATTTGATTATTATGATTGTAACCTTTAAAAAATACTAGAACTTGAAATAAACCATCACCCACATTATTTTTATCACTCAATGGCAACATTTCATGGCAGGAGATTATTTACCTGGAATGCTCTCCAACTTTCTACGAAGCTCTTCATTTTCTTGTTGCAATGAAATTACCTCCTGCTCTAGCTCTTGACACCGAGGGCAGTAACCTTCTTCCTCTTCCTCTTCTTCCTCCTCTGGAAGTGTAGAAGATGATGGATGACCATGAGATTCTGATGTTGCTGGAGATGTCCATCCACCTAAAGTGTGTACTGGAGAGGCTGAAAGTGGATCCACATCTGCCAAATGGCTAAAATCATTTATTGATGAGGTGTTCTGAGAAGGGAAGCTCCCAGAAAGCAAATAGTTCTGAAGGGAATCAGTAAAAACTCTCAGAAAGGCTGAGGTTTGTTGTTTCTTTTGCATATACTGCATCTCTATGTCTAAAATGTCTGACGTCTGACTATGGACCATTTTCCCAAGCTGACATTGCTCTTGTCTTTCACTATAATTTGGGTTTTCCTGCTTTATACAAGAAATCATGGACTGAGAGTGATTGTTGTCCAGTAGTTTTCCACCACAATTTAAGAGACTTAGAACCCGGCTGCATTGTTGAGCAAAGGCATCCAGAATCATTCGACTCTCTGCAACAAAAGAAAAGATGAATCACAGAAACCTAATGCAAGAGGTTATGCCAGACAGTAGCAGTTAGATGAATGTACACAACTGTTTACAGTAGCATGCATTTTATTTCTGAACATATTAAAATTATGGCTTCTGCTTTAATACTTCTGCAACACTGTGATTTAAAACAATCCTGACTCTGTTTCTATTTTGAGAGTGCCCTTGTGACCTTGCTGTTAATCAGAAATGCATTGTGATGATAGACACTGCTTACTGACATCTTCTTTCAGAGGGATTGAGTCAGGAAAATGGGGAAGAAAATACAAATTACATCCAATTTGCTACAAGTTCAAGTAAGTACTGCCCAGAAAGCCTATTTCAAGCTGTTGGAGGGCATTAACTGTACATATTTGTAGGACTTAGCACCATACCTTTGTCCTGTGCCCAGTTCCTCTCCAAAAAGGCTTCCAAGCTTTGTTATTTCTCCTTTTTGTCTTTGATGCACTTGTTTGACATTGGGCACAGGACACTCCACACAACTGACCCTAAATTCAATGGACTTTGCTTCTGTTCCTTTTGCTCTAGGCTCCAGATATGTCCAGAACTACCCAGAGTGATAAGCACAAACCCCTCTTCTTAGACCACACAAAGGCATCCTACAGGTTTGCAGGCAGGCCAGTATGGCACAGTGGAGAGTGGTGTTCTTCAAGATGCTCAGCATACAATCAGGAAACTACACAGGATTGTGCAGCAGTTTCTGGAGACAGCAGCTCAGCTCTGGAATTAGGATAGGGATGCCGTGCTGCACCTAGTCAGCTTTCCTCTCATGACAGGAGGTGTCATGTCTCAGGGAGCAATAGCAGCTACAAGCCAAACCTACAGAGTAGGATGGCTCATTTCTGCAATGTCTACATGTATAGCTCAAGCTGCTATAATACTTCCTGGGCCCAGATAGAAAATGACCAAGATATTTATGATACGACCTGTTAGGCTTCCCAGCAAAAATAGCGCCTTTTAAATCTTTTTTACCTTATTCAAAGCTGAGTTCCTCTAGGTATCTAAACAGATGTAACTAACATTTTGCAAAAGAAAAAAAGACTGGTAGGTTAAAGCACTGCCAATTTTGGAGAGCACTTCTCAGGCAGGCTTGACTTTTAGAAAGTGACAAACGCATTTACTTTTGAAAAGGCAACCTGCTACAGATACATGAGAATAAGCACCCCAGACCTTCATTTACCCTAACTTCATCAGTAGACTCATCACAGTCATAACACATAAAAACCAGAAATGTTCAGAATTCAGGCTTTTAAGGGGTGGCACTTTGTCACCGTCATATTTTCTGAAAAATCCCTTCACCAGGATTTCTTCTCCTGGGAAGCTGAGAAGCCTCAGAGAAAAATGAAAACAATAAATACCCGATTCACTTCTCCTGTGTTTTGCTGCTTTGGAATGTGGTTTGGACATTGTTTACCAACTGGTCATTGTTTCATTGGTTTCATGTGAATTGTTTTAACTTAACGACCAATCACTGACAAGCTGTGTCAGACTCTGAGGAGGGAGTGACGAGTTTTTCATTATTCTTCTTTTAGCCTTTTGTATCCTTTCTCTGTTCTTTAGTATAGTTTTAGTATAGTATTCTTTAATATGATATAAGATAATAAAATAATAAATTAGCCTTCTAAGATCATGGAGTCAGATTCATCATTTCCTCCCTACGATGGGGGACCCTGGAAATACCACAGCACTTTTCACATCACTTCTTCAAGATCTACCACTGTCTGGTGGAAAATCTACTTTACAGTGAGGTCACTACAGCTGACCTGAAGAATATTTGAAACAACACTAATTTGCATTTGTACCATCCTCCAGATCTCTGAAAGAGGGCAGGGCTGAAGCAGCATACAAATACTTTCAGCCTCAAATGCAGCCAGAGGAGACCTCCCTGGCACAAAACCTGAGGATGTGACCTCCTGAGGACTTAACTGAAAAAACAGGAACCTGAGGGTCCTGGGCAGAGCAAGCCCAAGCCCAGTGCTGGGTCATGAGGCTGCCTGGGGCCACGCAGGGATTGCCCAGGGGCTCCATGGGAAGGACTGGAGTAGCCCTAAGACCACTGCAAGCATCCTCAGCATCAGCCTCCTGTGTTTATGAGCTATATCACACTCCTGGAGACAGGTTCAGACTAATGAAGGCAGATTTCTACAACACTTCTTTGATCCAAAGCTTTATGCAATACCTTCTGTCCATAGTACAACTGCAAAGGGCAGAAATGCGCAGGCACTGCTGCCCCCTTTGCAAGTGGGTGCCAAAGAGGTGCCAGGTCCATTACCCACTGCCTCTCCTTCTCTCTTTCTACACTAACCTAAGGCCAGCTGTCTTTAACCCTTGCAATCAATGCAACTGCAAAACAACACAGGAGATGTAACATGAATTAGAAGAACAGAATGCTGGTGACATGGCAGCTTTCCAGCTGAGACCTGATAAACCAAAAGGAAATCAGGAAATTCAAGCATCACTAACAACCCCAAGATGTGCTTTCTTTGTTTTACTTCTTTCCACATTCGCCCTTTAAAATTATTACAGGATGATATTGACTTTGCAATCCTACTACAGAATGGTTTTTTCATTCATTTTAATCCTATAATCTGATTCCAGACCTGAATTCATCTATACTGTTTGTATTTTAATCATTATTGTCTCTGTTCACAAAACAGTTACGTATTCTTTGCATATCCTTGTTGCATGGGGACAAGATATGAATGAAACAACTGAAAAGGGATTAGACTCTTATAAGAGATGTTACTCCAATATTATGGTTTATTCTAAAAACAGCAAAAAGTAACCTGACATTCAAATTACTAGTTTTGAAGAAAACCAAAATACACATTAACAGCAGTAAAGATTAAATTAATTATTAGTTTTGTTTTAAAATTTAATGCATTAGGCATATTCACTGTGATAATGGTTTAAAATGTAACTGAAATTTTATACAGAAATGACATTATTGATTTAATCTTCAGTATCAGATCTATTACAAAGACACAATAACAGCAATTACTGTTTTTTTTCTTAACTTCAACCCATACTCAAAGACATAAAAATGAGCCATGACAAAGCAGGGCTCATTTGAGAGGCTAACCCAGAGATCACAAATGTTTTTTTTCTGGGTACTGCTGGACAGCAATAGTGAGGGATGCCCTCAGAACATATTCTGGAAATATCTGTCTCTGTGCTGAAGTAGGTTCTACTTTGAAGAGACTTCTATACCAGTAATAGTGCACACACCCACAGTCTGAACAACCCTAAATGAGAATGATAACTGCAGTTATTTCTAATGATGGAGAAAAAAAAATGTTGCCCATTTAGCATATATTGTAGAAATTGGGATTTCAGCTTTTACAGACTGTCTATAATTAGAAATGCAAGCACTGTGCAATGTCTAATCACTTAAGAAATGACAAAAAGTTGGTTTTATGTGATTACTACTGAATAAACACCAATCTATGATTCTTAATTGATTTAACATAATGTATGTATTTTCTATGAAAGTAGAATTCCAGTGAAATCACTGCACTGGACTCAAACAGTGTAAGCAGTTTATTAAAGTCTTATTGTGATATTCCTTTTCCTTATTACCTTGCTCACCAACCATGTAATTCTAATGTCTCAGACCCCAGAGTCTTTAGTCTTACAGAACTTCTATTGACTTTAACTAGACATTTGCCTGGAGGTGGACTTGCTGCCTAAGACCCATGAAGTGCTAAGAGAACAGAATTAAACTGCTAAAAGCATAAGTATTCCTAACTAGATTGTTAGGGACTGCAAGCAACCAGAAGATACTGTCATATGGCAACTCAGGTACCAACTCCAGACACAGCATTCATCTTTACATAATTTTCTCATTGACTCTGAGACTAGGGGAGGTTCTCAGCTATTCAACTGCCAGACTGAAAACAGGGTTTAATATGTCTGAAACTCACTCTGATAATTTACACTAACTAATGCATCAAAAAAGATGTCTGGAAAATTTGGCAGGTATAACTTCAGCTTTTCCCACACCTAAGGATCTTTTCAATACTTAGATCAGACAGCTTTAGTAATAAGCATTGTGTTGGGTCTCAGTGGCTCTGGATTCAGGTTGTAGATTTTCCAAAGTATCCTTTGTATTCTTGGGCAGCTGGTTTAAAAAGTCATCTTTGTAAGTATTGAGTGGGTCTGAACACCATACATTCTCCCCTGCAGGGAATGTATTAATAGGTATTTAATTTTCAGCAAGATTGTGATGTTCAGGTTCCTTAGCAATTCCAATCGTCTCACTCTTCACCTTGCAGTGACTCAGCCCTCTCACCTGATTATTTGTATTTCTTCATTTGTTTATTACAATAGTTTTATTAATTGAGACCCTGGGGCAGCAGCCTTGTATCCTTCAAACTGGCCTTTATCCAAGCATAGAGACTCGGCCATTATATTTTTAGATATGACCACTGCTGTAAATATTGTGCTTAGGTCACAAAATTGAGAGTATGTGACACCTCCTATGACTACACAACGTTTTCTTGGGCATTTTGCATACAGATCATCAAGACAGTCCAGTGGATTAAGACTACAAGTGTCTGGCCATTTCAGTACTTATCTGAGAGATCTGCTTCCAGATGAGGGCTCACAATTTCCAAGTTAAGGTCAAAACACTGATCTTCATTTTAGCTGTTCATGGAACAAACTGTTTTTTCTGTCTGGGCATAACAGAGCTTAATTAACTGGTCATTTTAAATATGCCATGTTTTTGGCACTGCTAACAGGTGCTACCAGTTCTGCTCTTCTTCCTCTGCTTTCCATGAAAGCCCACCCTAAATTTTAAGCTGCACTGTAAGGTCTATACCATGCTTTCCTAAGGAAAAGGACTTTCTTTGGTGGATTATGGTGCTGTTCAATGCACATACTACCAAAGACAGATAGTTTTCATGCCAGGAAAATAACCTGAATATATTAATAAAGAGTTTATATTTTACAGAAGAAAATGGGTATCTGCTGATGCTTTGAATGAATCCATCCGTGTGGCTCACAGCAGCAACAGCAGTCAGAGTAACCTCTAGAGAAGAGAGAAGGATTGTGTTGCAGTGCAGCTTCACATTTCTCATTGTAAGATGACATTTCTCATGCAGGATCTTTCCCTGCATGATGGGATCTCAAACTAAATTTTTCTTCACCATGGCACTGGGTGGAGAATTCCTGTTTTTTCTTCCTTTCCCTTCCCTTTCCCTGTTTTCCCTTCCTTCCCCCCTCTTCCTGCAATTCTGTTGGAGTCTGGAGGTGAGAGTGGTCTCTTAGAGAGCAACTGAGGGAAAATCTGGTTACCCTTGGGAAGAGTTCTAACCATTAGAAAAAGCTGCAAAACTATGGAAGCATCTTTAGTTGCGACTGTGTTTGAGGTGCCCACTTGCAAAAGCAAACTTGGAGCTGTGAATCCTAAGGGGCCAGAAATGCCATGCCTGAAGTTTAAGAATCAATTGCATTAGGTGTTTAAGTTGTTGGCACAGAGCTAGGCATCCCAGGAGTGGTGTTTTACTAGCTATTTGGCCACTGTTGCCTGCACAAGTGAAAAGAGGGGTATCTCTGAACTTAGGAAGTGGGTATCCCTACAAAACTGCCCTACAGCACTCCACCCCTTTATTCAAGTAAGCACTTGCCAAGAGCTGAGGAGAAACTAAGTGGGAGAACTGTACACATCATGGATGGTGATTGCCTTGTGGAGAATGCACATGCAGCTGGACACCTAAGGAATGATCTGTCCCTCCCTACAACACCCACCACTTGAGATCAACCTCTGGCTGAGAGGTGTTCTGGGCTTGCTTCTCATGCTGCTGTGAGGAACCCAGAGACCTCACAGGTACTGGCCAAAGTACAGGGTGACTGTGCATGGAGAACATGTAAAATTGGGGCAAAACCCCAACTCTGCTTCCCCAGAGGTGGCCTGTGCTATTAAATTGGCTCACACATTAGTTAAGAGGATTTCAAGCTTCTGGACAATGGGACTTCTTCACATGCATACAGCACTGGTCCCAAATAGCTTCCTGCTCATCTTAGTGCTACAGCTCCCAGGAACAAGCTGCATGGTGTTACTCCACCACCAAGCAGGAAGGATGGGCACACAGCTCAGCAAAGCATGCCTACCTATGGGATTAAAATACCCAGGAGATGTAAGCCTTGCTTATTGCTTTATAAAATCACAGAATGTTTTTGCTTGGAAGGGACCTTAAAGTTCATCTAGTTCCTCACCCCTTGCTGTGGGCAGAGATGCCTTCCACTAGACCAGGTTACTCAAAGACCCACCCAGCCTGGCCTTAAGCACTGCCAGGGATGGGGCATCCACAGCTTCTCTGGGCAACCTGTTCCAGTGCCTCATCAGCCTCACAGTAAATTTTTTTCCCACATATCAAACCTAAATTTCCCATCTTTCAATTTGAACCCATTACTCCTTGTCCTGCTTCAGTTCCTCTTGAAGAGTCCCTCTACAGCTTCCTTATGGGCCCTCCTAAGATACTGGAAGGTTCCTATGAGGTGTCCAAGCAGCCTTCTCTTATCCAGGCTGAACAGCCTGTCTTTCTCAGTCTGTCTTCATAGGGACCTGCTCCAGTCCCCTTTCCAACTTTGTGGGCCACCTCTGGCAACAACTTGTGCAAAATACTACTTGTACACACTGTAGCAAGTTTCTGGTTTGTTTTCTCCTGTTCTGTTTCTCTTGGTACTTACCTGAGCAAAGGGTGAGTTGGGACCCATACAGGAACCTAAAGTAAAGCCTGAATGTGCAGTTGAAGGGACAGGGACCTCAAAGAACTTTGGGGCACACATGGCAGTTCCTCCACTCTCTTTAGCATAGAACTGAATCAAAGACAAGCTCTGAAGCCTGCTCTAGTGCCTGGTTAGCACAATGTAGTCAGGAAAAAGAAAGTCCAAACTTCTGCTCATCGAAGCCCAGAGGGCTTTGCTGTGAATATGGTCTCATATATCATCTACCAGACAGCTGAATGTTTTCCATGGCCTAATCTGCTTCTGTAAAGAAATGTAGGTGTCACATTTATCATCAGTGTTTTGATTGTGGGCCACAAAGAATACTTGAATATCACCATTTGGGCATTTCATATAAGAAGCAATTTCATGAAGAAAGATGACCTTCTGCCATGGATCACAGAACTATGCCCCAGAGATGTGAATTCTCTGGCTAATCTATTCAAGTGTTAAACTTTTTTGGTAAAGTACTTGAATTATTTGTAACAAGACATGCTAAATTCATCCACTACAAGGCTACTTCTAAGCATAAACAGGCATTAGAACATAGCCATATATCCTATTAACTAGAGTATCTCCCTGTTTAGTAAGGAAATGTCATCACATTTGTTACAAAGGCAAACAGCAACATACCAAAACAGGATCCAATTTTTCTAAATAAATAAATCAATGATGTGTCAAAAATTAACAGATGAGTTAATATACCCGATGATATCAAAACCAGATGGTGCTTCATAATATTCATCCTGTTCAGTCAAACCCTGAATATATTCTGGACCATCAGTATATAAAATAGGATGCTGCTATTTGTGATGGCAAACAAAAGCAATCATGCCTGCCAAGCACATACTATAACAGGCAGCATTTCAGCTCTGCTAGACAGAAAGTAATTAGAATGCTTTTAATGTCCAAAAGAATGATGCTGATAGGCTGCCACAGATGTGTAGATTTATGAATATTTATATGGTGGTTTATAGCTGACACTTTTATCAGTTGAAGAAGATAAAATATCTGCCTGACTCAAAAGCTTGACAGTCAGGTTAATAAAATCTCATTAAAGAGAATGACCTATGCAATTATATAGGATTTATTGTAATTCATTTTTGATTGTACTCTGCTTAAAGATGCAATTTCCCATTTCCTGATGCCAAATTTAGGTTGCATATCAAGATCTACGTGGTTTTTTAACTCCAAGCCATCACTAGAGGAAAGATATGTGTTCAGCATCTCGGTATCTTACACCTTTAAAGAAAAAAAAATAAAAATAATTTGATCTCCTGTTTGTCACTGCATCTTATGAAAACGGTGCAGGCAAGCAGCCGATCTATTTTCTTTCTGTTAAAACCACTACCGCTCTATCAGCAGCCTCTCCATTACCAGCAGTTCCTCCGGTAGCTGGCCCCAGCCTGCCGCCCTCCCCGGCGGAGCGGAGCGGGGCTGAGCGGAGCGGAGCGGCCGGCCCGGGGCTCCCCCCGTCCGCCCCCGCCCCGCCGGCAGCAGCGGCAGCAGCGGCGGCGGCAGCAGCAGCAGCAGCTCTCTCTCCCTCTCTCCCTCTCTCTCTCTCTCTCCCTCCCGCAGGTGCGCACCGGCCGGCGGCGCCTGCCCCGCCAAGTCCTGCGCGGCTGCCGGCACAGCCCCCGCCGCCGCCACCCCTGCCCACCGCCCCGGGGCGCCGCCGGCCGGGCAGCGGCCCCGCGCGCCGCGGCAACTTCGGCGGTGCCCGAGCACCGGACAGAGCCCGCCGCCCGCCCCGTCCCCGCCCGCCGCCAGCCCCGAGCGGGGCCACCCCGCGGGCGTCGCGCCCTCCGCCAGCCGCCCGGGAGAGGGGTGCGCGCCTCGGCGGCGGAGCCGCAGCCCCATCCCGCTCCCGCCTGCCGCAAAGTGCCCCGCGAAGTTGCGCGGAGGAGAGAGAGGAGTTGCGGGTACCTGCGCTCAGCTCCGCGCCGCCGCCCCCCGCCACCGGCGGGCAGGGGCCGTAGCGGCCCGAGGAGCTCGGGGCCGGCGGCGGCGGCCGGGGGTGGCCCTGGGCAGCGCCGGGGGCAGCGCCGGGGCGGGCGGGCCCGTTGGGGAAGGCGCCGTGCGGCGCGTAGGGCAGCGGCTCGGCGGCGTGCGGGAAGGGCTGCCCCACTCCGCGCCCGCGGGGCACCTCCACCATGGTGGGTCTCTCGTAGCGCTTGGCCAGCGCCGCCCGCTTCCCGGGGAAGGTCTTCAGGACGCTGTAGGGACCCCGCTGCTTGTAGATTTTGGGGGTGCTGGGCCCCTCCTCCGCCGGCTGCATCTCCTCCTCCATCCTCCGCCGCCTCCCCCGGCGCGGCGCGGCCCCGCTCCGGGGCTGTGTCTGCCGCCGCCGCGGCTCGTCTCTGTGGCACGGCGGAGCCCCGGCGCGGCGGGGCGCCGGCCTGATTGACAGGCGGCCGCGCCAATGCCTGGAGGGAGACGGGCGGCGACCGGCAAGTGTTTAGGGTAATCTCCGCTAATGGCAGCGGGGCGGGGAGGCGGGCGCTGGTGGGGCCGCCGCCGCCCCCGGCACCCGCCGCGGGGCAGGTGAGCTGCGGCGGGGGACGAGCGGCTCCGGGGCCCCCCCGCCTCCGCCCGGCCCCGCCCGACCCTGCCCGGCCCGAGGGCTGCCAGACCGGCCCGCCCCGCCGAGCGACGGCCGCCGAGAAAACTTTGTGTCCCCTCGGCCGGGCGCGGAGCCCCGCCGCCCGCCGGGCATCCCTCCCTCCCTCTCCTCCTCTCCCCGCACGGAGCGAACCGCGGGCTCGCCTCCCCGGTTATTAGGGGTGAAATAAATAATGCCATAAATAAAAGTATTTTGGAGTCCAGGACCTGTCAGAGTTGATTAGGGCACAGAGGACATTTTCTTTCTCATTATGCAAAAGCATTTCATGGCGAAATAAAAGAGGTTTCGCTGTAACTCATGCATGTCAGATTTCCAGGAATCCGGGAGATTAATCACATTTAACATTATTTGCAACGCCCCCCGCCCGCTTTTTGCAAACTGCTTAAATGCGGCGGACGCGTGGGGCGCAGCCTGGTCCCGCGTCCCCTGCTCACTTTCCCCCTGTCGCCAGCCCGGGCCCTTTCAGGGACAGTTAAGAAATAATGAAGCGATGGTGAAAGACAGGAGGAGAATGAGATGCCATCGAAAGACGTTTCTGAGAAATGGTGGAGATCTGGGTGAGATGGGAGACAGCTGAAATCGAATGATATGTTGAAGAAAAATAAATGATAACAAACTGCTCACTGGCTCTCTCCATTCTTTTCTGCATTACCATTATATTTTGCATTACCATTTCCCTTCTTCTGTCCCACTTCTCGCCTGCTTCTGTTACTATAATTTATCAGGATTACAATAAACCCTCTGGCTTGTGGAAGTAAAATTGCAGAACACCTTAGCTGTATTTAAGTGTCGGCAGTGGGAAATCATTCCTCTCATCACGTGGAATTTTGGCCACTTATTGTGATCATTGCTCTCCCATTCCAGCTTTTTTTATTTAGTCAGAGTCGGGCTCACTCGTAATGAAATGCAACCCTTTGCTGAAGGTAATTAACTCCTGCCCATCTACTGCAGAAAAGTGGAGGTAAGTTCTGCAAGCCAGGCATTCTTTTCATGCAGGGTGTACCAGGAGCTGGGCTGGTTTTGGTTTTGATTTTTATGACAAGTAGAGTAAATCGATTCCTTGTAGCAGCCAAAAGCATCAAGTAAAGGCTAGTGTGATAGAAATCGCTGTTTTACCTAAGCAAAATCAATCATAAGTCTCTTTGTTTCCTGCCTGAGTCTGATCACTTGTGCTTTTTAAAAAAAAGAAAATTGTACTGTAATGCAAAATAAAGACTGGAAATATGTGTGAGAGAAACTGTTCCCACTCAGAAATTAAATATGTCCTCTACCTTGTCTCATCTGACTGGCCTCTGCCACAGCAGCTATTGGAGGTCAGTACTAAAATTGTATAAGGTTAGTATTAGGCTCCTACAAGTCAGATTCAAATAAACAGCCCAAAATTACTTTCTCAGGTGTCAACTACATTCATAGAGTTCACTATTCTTTGGTGTAGATGCCTACCCCTGAGCTCCTTGTGGAAGAAACAGTCCTTGCCTAACATGAGCCTCATACAGACAGAGAAATCAGGGGTGACAGGTCATGTCCTCCAAGCTGCCCTCTCTGCCAGGGTCCAGGCAGATCACTGGGCAGATGCTGGCTCTCCATGGACAGGGAGAGAGAAGCAGGTTTGGAGTTAATGGGCCTCAAAGCCACTGAAATGATGTGGGGACCTCATCTGTAAGGAAAATGGAATATGCACTGAATTTCTTTCTGTTGAGGTTTTTGACAGTGCCCATCACTGCCAAAATATCACTTTAGTTGCTTTTAGGAAAGCTTGGCTTTTCCCCTAGTTTGCTCTCAGTGATTCTTTTGGGCGCATATGCCTAAAAAATCTGTGGTTTTCTCCCCACCTTTCCTTTTGTGTTTTCCCCTGAGTCTCAGATGAGGGACTCTGATGTTGTGGCCAAAAGACTGTGTTTTGTGCCTAATCTGATGGGTTCCTGCAGGTCAGTCCTGTGATATAAAAAAAGGGTTTAACCCTGGTGGTCCCACCTTTTCCTTTGTGGAATGTCCTTTTATTAGGAAATCCCATTTTGCTCCTGAGCTCTGTGCAGGTATGCAGCCACTCTTGCAGGAGCACTGTGTGCCTTTGTCAGGGAGGAGCGTGGCCCTAGACTGGCAAAGAGGCAGGCTGGGTGAAGTGATGGTCTCCAAGTATGGGAAGATGGGGCCATATCTGCTGTGAGCAGTTTTGGGCTGCCCTTTTCCATGGCTGCTCCCTGTGGCACAGCCTACTGCTACCCTGTGTATCAGCATGAAGTCATGAAATTATTATTAACCAAACATTGAACTCTGAATTACAGACACAGATTGGTTGCACACTGGATGAAAACAGTTAACACATAGCTTTTACCTTGATAAACTAAAAAAAAAAAACCAACAACCTTTAGCTGATACCAGCAGCTCATTTTCAGAAAGCCAAACACCTTCATTTCCCTTAGACTGTGCCATGACTTGGGAGTTGACCCTGAAGAGAAGGTTGTGTCTTTCCCTACCTGTTTACTGATTCCAGTTTTCACTGTTTCACTGACACTAAGGGCTGGAGATCTGTAACAGGATTATTGCAGAGCACTCTAAGTGGAAAAATGATGGGGAGTAACTGACCCTCGGTAAAAAACCTAATCAAAACAAAGACAACAGGCACAATGAAAAATAAGAAACCCAACCTTGCTGCAGTATACACTCCTCTGCTCCTAGAAATCATGGCAAAGAGAATATTTGTCAGTATATAGAAAAATACCCAATCTAGACACAGACCATCAATCACTGAACATGTCTGTGTTGAAGGTACTGTGAGGTACTCAAAGAATAAAAGTGTGATTCATCCCTATCTTCTGAGCAGGGGCTAAATCTTGCTCCACTTATTCATGGGAGCAGTGCTCCTGTGATAGCTAAAGCATGCAGGATTTGGCCATGAACTGCCAATATTGCTCTGCACATTTGGAGTGTATGATGAGAGCTGAGATTGGCAACTCTCCTCTGTAATCTAAACCACTCTGCAGGCAGGCTAGCCATAATTTGCTGCCCCAAACATTTAACCCCGGCTAGTTAATTTAAGCTTAGCTCAGTTGCTCATGTTTATGGATAAAGAAACAAAAGGGAAAGCATCAAAAGGAAAAGATGACTGTGGAATTCAATATTTCGGCAGCTGTTGATAGGTAAATCTTATTGAAGTGTAGCATTCAAAACCAAAGGCCCGCATTTATGATAATGAGCCTAACAAGGAAATGAGATTGACACAGCAATTCTCTGTTTTTGTTGTCCCCTGAGGTTAGAGATTATGCAGTGCACGGTGCTGTTTTTAGCCTCTTTGGTGATTCCAACTGTGAGAGACAACGCTGTGCATATTTGTCAAGGTTGCACTTTAATCAGGTGACTCAGGGGCTTTTTGAGGGAGAATGTGAACTGCTGGTCTCACTTAAACCTTAATCCACATCCTATGTCAGAGATTCATCAGCCAAGCAGTGCAGCTTTCAGCCTCTTCTTTTCCCTTATGCTTACTCAGTGCTCTGAGAACATGCTTTGAAATAATTGAAATGTATCTATCATGGTTACATTGTATTTTGAGAATTACTGGAATGTTTCTTAGTGACATTAATTAGTTTTAAAATATTTTTGTCTTTCTAATTAGTAAAAGATTGACGAGCAGTGGAAAGGGCATTTATACACAGGCAGCCACATATTTCCATGCTACATTTGTGTCTTAATAAAATGGTTGCTAACTGGTCTCTTATGCCTAGTAAACACTGGAAAAATAGAAAAGATCCTATAACTTTAGGAAGAGGAAATAACCTCTGTTTTAAATGGGATCACATGGTGTAAAAGAAACCCCAAGTCTCCCCGAGGGCTGGAAAATGGATAAATGAATTATTTAAATATAGTTAAAGGATACACAGGAAAAAGTAATGGCTCTGATACCCAATGTAGGGAAAAATATTAATATTTTAAGGAATCAATTGTGGACACATGAAAAAGCTTGTTTTAATTAAAGATAGCTTACATAAAGCAGTTTCAAGCAGGGAGAAACAGTATAGGATACTTGTTGCTGAGCATTTTTTAGAAATACATCATGAATAAAATGAATGACATAACACAGTTCAAACTTCCATCTGCCCTAAAAAATCTTCACTGTCTGTGTTGGAGCATTTTAGAATAGCTTTACCTCCCTGGAGCATTAGCTCTTTCCCCAGCCCTTGCCCAAGCTGGCTGGTGCTTTCTCTTGGCCTTGGCCATCACCGTGTAACGTAGGGTTGCTCTATATTGCATAGCTGCTCTTTGCAATGCTTAGATTTGCAATGCTTCTCATTTTGCACACTTGGCATTTTGAGACCAGCATTTTGAGAGGTCTGCTGGCTGTGCCCCCAAAGGCAGAGCTGCTGTTCCACAGGCTGGGACCCAGCTTCATGTACTTTCCAGTATCTGTTGTCCAGGTTTGAAAAAGGTGGTCCTTGCAGGTCAGAAGTCACACTGAGCTAGAACTCAATTAGTGTAGAAAATGCTGATTTCCCCAAGCAGAGACTTCACTGATATTGTACACTGAAGTGTTACACTTGGGCCCAGCACTCACACAGCTTGGTGGCTGTTCAAAAATATGGTCAAATTTTGTCAAGCAAGCTGTGCACATCAGTTACAATGAAAACACAGATGGGATGGACAGAGGAAAACAGCTGGAAGCAGACTCTTCC